AATCACAACAGAATTTTGTCTGATATAGTGCTGGAAGGTGAGCCCCCTAGGTTAGAAAGCACTCAAAATACAGTGGCTGCAACAATGGACTCGAGCATTCCAACAATCCTGAAGATGGTGTAAGACTGGGCAACCTTTGTTCCATTGTACAAGGGGTCACCATGAGTCAGAACCAACTCGACAACAACAAACAACAAATGTGTTGTTGAACAAATAGATTCTTTTATCATTCATTCAACAAACACCTAGTCTGTACCAGGCACTAAATATACCAAAAAACAATCACGTTCAGTAGTAGGAAGGAGCCCTGGTGGCATAGTGGTTAAGCACTCAGCTGCTAACCAAAAGGTTGGAAAGAGGCACCTCTGAAGAAAGGTCTGGCAACCTACTTCCAAAAAGTCAGCCATTGAAAACCCTATGTAGTACAGTTCTACTCAGACATACATGGGGTCCCCATGAGTCAGAATCAACTTGGCGACAACTGTTTTTTTTTAAAAAAAACAAAACAAAAAAAAAACACTTACTGAGCACTTAGTATACATCCGACTCTTCACATGTAACCATTTCAATTATTCCTCACAACAGCACTGAGTTTGGTAACTGTCCCTACTTTTCAGATAATGAAACTGAGGCAAAGAGGTGTTAAGTAACTTACCTGATAGTAATTACATGGCAGAACTGGGTCTCCAACCCAGGTCTGTCTGATCCTACCTGCTATGACTTCCTTTCAAAAAAAGTGATAGCTCACATTGTGCCAGGTATTATTCCAAGTATTTTACATATTACATTTCATTTCATCTTCACATTAAACCCATTTTACAGCTGAGGTAAAGTGTGGTTAAATAACCCACTGCTAGTACATGGTGGAGCGGAGTTTTGAACCCTGGGAGTCGAATGCCAGAGACCAGGCTCCTAAACACTACCCTGAAGGCAGCAGCACTGTTCCACAGAGAATTAGATGAATAAGATTAATAAGTCTCAGTGAGGTATTGGCCCTTCTCCCTCTAGTCAGCCTGACCTACTTACCCAGGTCTACTTCAGCTTCTGTTATAGACCGACGGGTTTTGTAAAGTACACCATTGTAGCATCTTTTTTTTTTAAAGGATAGACAAACTAATAGGGAAGTTGAGGTTCCTTCCCAGGGTCTCCTAAGCAAGCTAGTAGTAGGCTTGGGGTTAACAACCCACCATCCTCATTCCTGTTAACTTGCTCTTGAATGACGGGAATTTGTATTATCCCTTTGGAATGGCATGAGGCCTGGAGAAGATACCAGGGGCCTGGGAAAACACCCGGCTCTTGTGCAGTGACTCAAAGTCATTGGAGGGCATAGGATATTCCGTTAGAGGGGTGTTCATAACCAACTGATCCACAACCTTCTCTTTCATTGCACAGTGAGGGCTCCAAACTGGCCGCCTCGTCCCCCTAGCAACTTAGTCTGGGAGATCACCCAGGCTGTGGTGAAGGGTATTTCTCTGCAAGACTGGAGAAGACCAAGCAGCCAGTCTACCCTGGAGATAGCACAACTGAACATAGAATGGGCTCTCTGCCAAGTTAGATTACAACAAATGACAACAGGACATTTCCCTGAAGCTGTGGAGAACCGCATTTGTGGGATGAGGGAGCCCTGGTGATGCAGTGGTTAAGAGCTCGGCTGCTATCCAATAGGTCAGCAGTTCAAATCGACCAGCTATTCATTGGAAACCCTATGCGGCAGTTCTACTCTGTCCTATAAGGTCATCATTAGTTGGCATCGACTTCACGGCCACAGGTTTGGTTTTGGTTTGTGGGATGAGAGCCCTGCGCCACCAGGGCTCCGCGGTGGGGAAAGGAGATGTACTAGCAGTGAGCAGCGACTCCTAAACCCTTTTCCTGGGAGGCTTTGTTGTTGTTGCAGTTGCATTTGGTTTTCAAGGCTGTGACCTTTCAGAAGCATATTGCCAGACTTGTCTTCCGAGGCACCTCTGGGTGGGTTTGAACCGACAACATTTCAGCTAGTAGTTGATTAACCGTTTGTGCCAGAGGCTAGCCAAGACAAATTTGCCCGACTTGTTTAATGACATAGTTTAACCCCGCTCCTGCCTCTTGCTTGGTTTCTTTCTGGGACTATTAACATTGGAGTTAATTACTTAGAATTAATAACCATAACGAGAACTATCGCGGTTCCTAACAACTGTAACCACATAAAATCTTTTATCTTGTAGCATCAGACTATCTTCTCCAAGCACCCCAGGAAAACTTCTTTAGGAAGAGGAAGGACCTGGTGTTTACCTGCAACCCACTCAGCATCAAGCATTTGTCATTCAACATTCTACATATGTTACCTCATTTACTTCTCAGAACCACACTACATCATAGAGATTATTATTTCCCATTTTACTGATGAAGCGGCGGGTCAGAAGAGTTCAGTACCTTGCCCAAGGAAGTAAATGGAAGAGACTGTACTTTTTTTTTCCATCAGGACTTAATTGCAACTTAGACCAAGGGATGGAGTTACTACAGGTAGGGAACCACTGTGGGTCTTTTCATTCCTTTGGGCAGTTGTTGTTGTCTCTGACTCATGGTATCCCCACACACCACAGAATGAAACACTGCCCAGCCCTGCGCCATCCCCATGATGGTTGGGGATTGGACGGTTGTGATCCACAGGGTTTTCACTGACTAATTTTCAGAAGATCACCAGGCCTTTCTTCCTAGTCCATCTTAGTCTGAAAGCTCCTCTAAAGCCAGTTCAGCATCCTAACACACACAAGATTCCACTGACAGACAGGTGGTGGCTGTGCATGAGGTGAGTTGTCCGGGAATCAGACCCAGGTCTCCCGCATGGAAGGTGAGAATTTTACTCTGAACCACCATTGCCTTCCCTTTAGACAGTACCAAAACCAAAACCAAACCTGTTGCCGTTGAGTTGATTCCAACTCATAGCAACTGTATAGGATAGAGTAGAACTGCCCCATAGGGTTTCCAAGGCTATAAATCTTTACAGAAGCAGACTGCCACATCTTTCTCCTGTTGAACAGGCTGGTGGATTCGAACTGCCAACCTTTGGTTAGCAGCTGAGCTCTTAACCACTATGATACCAGGGCTCCTTGGACAGTACATGTGTGCAAATTACCCAACAGGTCAACTGCATTCTGAGATACTCTGACTCTGAATTCCAGTCTGTAATTTTTTTCCTTTCTTACATCTGATAGCATGTTGTTTACAGCTTTGTTCTTTTAATAACCAGAGACACAGGCATATAGTGAGAAATTATTTGTTCAATTCTAAACTAACTATTGTGCAAAGAACTAATGAACTATGGTAAGCCAGCAAGAATGCAATCTTCATCTGGATAGGTCTGTGACCTAAAGACGTATTTTTATAAGAAGATTCAGGATATAGGACTTTTTTCCCTTTTTCTCATCTGCTGAGGAAACTCTGAATCAAATGAGAACTCTAGTAAGGGACAAGCAGTAGCCACCCCCCTTTACCCCTCAAATACACAAGGTCAGGGGAGAAAAAAGGACACAAAGGTCACTTAAAGGAAGAACAATATAAGCCTCCAAGGAGTAAGAGAGAAATTAGCAACCAGAGCAAGGCTGGTTTTCAGTGGTGAGAAGCTACCCTGCGGCAAACACTTTCACAGCTTGTTCCAATTTATACTTGAGGAGAATTTTGAATTTCTGGGTGGATGAATATGGGCATCATTCCTAACACTATTTCCCTGCAAACACATTTGCTAACTGAAGTCTCAGAGAAACAGCTGGTGAAGGCATTCAGAATCAGGTGCCTCACAAGTTTCTTTCTTTCTCCAAATTTTCCAGTTTGTCCTAGTAGAAAGTTTGGTTTGGAGATGGTTTCGGACCTTTCTCTAACAGCAGTGTTGGGTGTAGAGTGCGGCTATTGGGCTGTCAAGAACAGACATAATACAGGCTGTGTGATCAGGACTAAGAAAACAAAAATGGATCCTAGAGGTAAAATTACTTTAAAAAAAAAAAAGTCAGGTCCTGGCAGAACAATCGCTTCAGTATATTTGCTGTTAAAAGAAAAAGAGAGAGAAAAAGCGAGAGAGAGAGGAGTTGCAACAGCAAAAGAAAAAAAAAACTAGACCCGATGTTATATTCTTCTGGCATCGAGGAAATAACCTTGCTTTAACCAAAGGTCAGCAGGCAACCAGTCCAGGTGGGAGTGTAAACAATTCTAATCCAGACAGCCAGGTGGTTTTAAAAGATTTGTTCAACAAAGAGCAAAGAAAGTGCTAGTCATTTTTAGAGAAGAGGGAGTGAGAGAGCTGGAGTGGAGAGCTTCTGAGCAGGGCAACAAAATTTACCTGCCCGAGGAACAGACTTTGGCGGGGGAGGTGGGGGGGAAGGGGAGCGCGCAGGAGAGCGGCGGCGGAAATCTAGGGACGTCTCACAGGTTTAGATCTGGTGAGATAAACGCAGAAAATAAGGCAACTCTGAACTCAACCGGCACTGCCCAACCCCCATCAAACGGGCTGAACAGGTCTGCACCTCAGAGTTAAGTTTTAAAAAATGTCTCCACTCTACTCCAGGAAAAAAAAAAAACCAAACCCGTTGCCGTCGAGTCGATTCTGACTCATAGCAACCCTATAGGACAGAGTAGAACTGCCCCTCCGGGTTTCTAAGGAGCGGCTGGTAGATTCGAACTGCCGACCTTTTTAGTTAGCAGCCGAGCTCTTAACCACTGCGCCACCAGGGCTCCACTCTTCTCCAGGATTTAAAAAAAAGTCAGATGAATTTCGCAGACAAGCAGACACTGGATAATGATTAGGAGAAACAGAAAGGATTAAAAATCTGGCCTGGGAGAACTTTATACCCTGCAACCAAAATGCCAAAGACATCCCTCTGTTCTTCCCTCTCAAAAGAGCTTCTTCCTCTTGGACAACGACCCAGGGCTAAGCCGTCCAGACCACATTTTTCATTCAAATTCCCTGCTCAGATCCCTCAGGGGTTAGTGGTCTAAATGCCAAGCGAGAAAAATGGAGAGTGTCAACTCACCTTTTCAAATGTCTGTCTGGGGCTCTCAAATCAGCAGCAAGGAGCAGCTCTCATCCCTGGTGGGTGAATGGAGCAGCTCCTTGGGCTGACCCCAGCTGTGAACAGCTTCAGCCTCGGTGTACAGGTGCTTGGAGGAAGGAGGAGGGTATTGGTCGGTCAGGAGCAGGAAATGTGTGACATCACGCAAGCCTCGACGGATAAAAAGCATTGCTGGGATCTTAGCGATTGAAGCAGTCAGTAGGTCCCGCCTACCTATCATTTACCTGAATACCTGCGAGCAGGTAGGTGGCGTCTCTGAGTGGACAAATGAATAGGTTAGAGCAATTTGCAGGATGGAATTTACTTTCTTTTCCTGCGCCAGCACGTGTCCAGCCCCGTGTACAGCTCTGAATTTGTTTGCCTGGTTGCTTCATCTACTCCAGCCCCCTCCCCGTCTCCCACTTGGTAACCAAAACCCCAAACCCTTTGCCACTGAGTTGATTCGGACTCACAGCGACCCTATAGGACAGAGTAGAACTGCCCCATACGGTTTCCAAGGCTATAGTCTTCACAGAAGCAGACTGCCACATCTTTCTTCCCCTAAGCAGGCTGGTGGGTTCGAACTGCCCCTTTCGGGTAGCAGCCCCGCACTTAACCACTGTGCCAGCAGGAATCCTCTCCCCAACCTGGTAGCTGCCTATAAAAGAGTTAAGAAGAGTTTAAGCACGAAAATAAGACGGTAATTTTTAGTGGGCACAAAAAAGAAGTTCACACTTCCTGTCTGGAAATATCTGAGATTTACCTCCAAATGCCTTTTTGAATGGCAACTATTTGATCCATAAGTACTTCCCTGTACCACAGAATAACAAACTAGAGGTGAGATTTTCAAATTCGTTTTAAAAACTTCTAAATATGATACTCATCAGCAGTTTCAAAGTTGAGTTTTCAAACTCTTTATACACAACCCCTCCCCACCTACACCCCCAGGATTTTAATTCCATTTTCAGGGGTTGGTAAACTTCAGTCATCCCTACCTCAGCTTGCCTGGCAGTTAGAGTCACATGGTGGTTACAGTCCACTGTAAGCCTTCAATTAGGAGCAATTTAAATGATTCAGATTCTAGTGGTAGGACAGTAATAAGGCACTGAGGTCTACTGGTTAGAGTCAGGAAGGCGCAGTCAGAGTTATTTCTGACCCAGGCTTCTGGGTGACCCTGGACAACTCACTGTGTTGCTTCAGCGTTTCCAGCGTGAAAGGAAGGGAGACACTACCACTCAGCCAGCACCAGAACTGGCTGCTGAGAAATACTACGACTGTTAAACGCTTTGGCATCTTTCCAGGAGGATTGTAAACAATTCCTGCAGCTGTATTTAAGCATTGTCTATTTCTATGGCCTGTGTCAGCATCCCTGGGCAATTTAGATAGCTCTCTGGAATGTGCTACCTCAGGAAACTGGATTCTCCTTACCTGGAGGATGGCCTGCTTGCCCTTGGAGACTGTTCGTTTTTTTTACCCCCGTGGAGCGGGGGGAGTTGAAATTCCCATTTTTTTTTCCTCAATTCTCTCTCCCTCTTCTCCCCTCCCCCACCTTCTGATATTGGAAATGCTTTGGTTCAACAAGTTCTAATATTGTACTACTTTAGAGGTTTTTTTGTTTGTTTGTTTGGTGTTTTTTGGCTGGCGGTGGAGTGGAGGAAGGAGGGTAAATGGAAGGGGGAAGGAAAGGAAAAGTTTGATTCCATTTTCTCGGCCTCAACATTGAATGACTGCGGCAAGTCATTCAATACCTTGTAAAGCAATGGGGGAGGGGCGGGAAGAGAAATTCTAGTCAAGGGCAAGGGGTGCGGGGGCAGGCTCTGGGATACCTGCAAGAGCTGGCTTCTCTCCCCAAGCAGTCCCAGACTGGTCTAAACCACCTTTTCCCACTGGGAACTTGTTTTGCTTTGAGGAGAGTTAGAAGTTTAAAAAATAAGATAAAAAATTCCCCCTATTCACTTCTTTATCCAATAGAAACTAAAGTAAATGTGGCTACCCTCTTATTAAAAAAAAAGAAGGCAGGTCTTTCAGGAAGAGGTACCAGCTCACCAGCAGGACACTTTATATAAAAACATCACCAAAACAAAGGCTTCCCCGTGACACCGACAGGGTGTCCACTGGTGGGAGGGGGGAGGGGAGGCCGGACACTCTGGCTGACCGGAGGAATCACCTGGAAGGCCATGCCTTCCAGCAGTCTTGGAGGCAGCCCGCCCTCCGGCTGGGGAGTGGTGTAATCAGGCCTCCAGCCTTTCTGTTAGCAGCGTTTGCACCCCTCAGGAACCCCTTGACTTAGTAGAGAGTAAGCAAAAAAGAGAAAGACCCTCAGTGAGATGGATTGACACAGTGGCTGCAACAATGGGCTCAAACACAGCAACGATTGTGAGGGTGACGCAGGACCAGACTGGGCAGTGTTTTGTCCTGCTGTTCATAGGGTCTCTATGAAGAGGAAACAACTCGACAGCACCTAACAACAAACAACAACAGGATATAAAACTAAAACCAAACCTGTTGCAGTCGAGTCGATTCCAACTCATAGCGACCCTATCAGACAGAGTAGAAATGCCTCATACCGTTTCCAAGGCTATAAATGTTTACAGAAGCAGACTGTCACATCTTTCTTGTGCTGAGCAGGCTGGTAGGTTCCAATCTGCAGCCTTTAGGTTAGCAGCCAAGTGCTGAACCACTGCACCACCAGGGCTCCTCATATCAAACACACAGGAGCATAGTTAACTCAATTTACTCTCTTTCAACAATAACCTCTGGAGACTATTCCATGTGTCTACCTCTGAACTGGCATAATCCTTGGAGTTAGGCCATAAGAAGCTCCTAGAACTTTGGGACGATTGTAATAGATAGGTCAGCCTTATGTTGTAGTTGTCAGGTGCCATCTAGTCACTTCTGACTCATAGCGACCCTGTGTACAACAGGACGAAACACTGCCTGGTCCTGTGCCGTCCTCACAATCATTGTTATGCTTGAGCCCATTGTTGCAGCCGCTGTGTCAATACATCTGGTTGAGGGTCTTCCTCTTTTTTGCTGACCGTTTGCTTTATCAAGCATGATGTCCTTTTCTAGGGGCTGATCTCTCCTGATAAGATGTCCAAAGTACATGAGATGAAGTCTCGCCTTCCGCGATTCTAAGGAGCATTCTGGCTGTACTTTTTCCAAGAGAGATTTGTTCATTCTTCTGGCATTCCAAGGTATATTCAATATTCTAGGTCAACACCATAATTCAAAGGCATTAATTCTTCTTCCATCTTCCTTATTCATTGTCCAGGTTTCACATGCATGAGGCAATTGAAAACACCATGGCTTGTGTCAAGCACACCTTAGTCCTTAAAGTGACAGCTTTGCCTTTTAACACTTTAAGAGATCTTTTGCAGCAGATTTGCCCATGCAATGGGTCTTTTGATTTCTTGACTGCTGCTTCCATGGGCATTGATTTCGGATCCAAGTAAAATGAAGTCCTTTAAAATTTCAATATTTCCTCCATTTATCATGATGTTGCTTATTGGTCCAGTTGTGAGAATTTTTGTTTTCTTTATGTTGAGGTATAATCTACACCGAAGGCTGTGGTCTTTGATCTTCATCAGTAAGTGCTTCAAGTCCTCTTCACTTCCAGCAAGCAAGGTTGTGTCTTCTGCATATTGCAGGTTGTTAATGAGTCTTCCTCCAATCCTGATGCCCATTCTTCTTCGTATAGTCCAGCTTCTCGGATTGTTTGCTCAGCATACAGATTGAATAAGTACGGTGAAAGGATACAACCCTGACGCATATCTTTCTTGACTTTAAACCACGCAGTATTCTCCTGTTCTGTTCAAATGACTGCATCCTGGCCTAAGTACAGGTTCCTCATGAGCACGATTAAGTGTTCTAGAATTCCTATTCTTCGCAATGTTATCCATAATTTGTTATGATCCACACAGTCAAATGCCTTTGCATAGTCAATAAAACACAGGTAAACATCTTTCTGATATTCTCTGCTTTCAGCCAAGATCCATCTGAGATCAGCCATGATATACCTTGTTCCATGTCCTCTTCTAAATCTGGCTTGAATTTCTGGCAGTTCCCTGTTGAGGTACTGCTGTAACTGCTTTTGAATGATCTTCAGCAAAATTTTACTTGCGTGTGATGTTAATGATATTGTTGGATAAATTCCACATTCCATTGGATCACCTTTCTTTGGAATGGGTATAAATATGAATCTCTTCCAGTTGGTTGACCAGGTAGCTGTCTTCCAAATTTCTTGGCATAGATGAGTGAGCACTTCCAGAGTTGCATCTGTTTGTTGAAACATCTCAATTACTATTCCGTCAACTCCTGAAGCCTTGTTTTTCACCAATGCCTCAGTGCAGCTTGGACCTCTTCCTTCAGTACCATCCGTTCTTGATCATATGCTACCTTCTAAAATGGTTGAACTTCGACCAATTCTTTTTGGCACAGTGACTCCGTGTATTCCTTCCATCTTCTTTGATGCTTCCTGCGTTGTTCAGCATTTTGGTCCTAGAATCCTTCGATATTGCAATTCGATGCTTGAATTTTTTTTTTCAGTTCTTTCAGCTTGAGAAATGCTGAGAGTGTTTTTCCCTTTTGGTTTTCCATCTCCAGGTCTTTGCACAAGTCATTATAATACCAGATCTTCTCCAGCTGCCCTTTGGAATCTTCCGTTCAACTGTTTTACTTCATCATTTCTTCCTTTCGTTTTAGCTACTCTATGTTCAAGAGCAACTTTCAGAGTCTCTTCTGACATCCATTTTGGTCTTTTCTTTCTTTCCTGTCTTTTTAATGACCTATTGCTTTCTTCATGTATAACGTCCTTGATATCATTCCACAACTCGTCTGGTCTTCGGTTATTAGTATTCAATGTGTCAAATCTATTCTTGAGATGGTCTCTAAATTCAGGTCGGATACACTTAAGGTCATACTTTGGCTGTCGTGGACTTGTTCTATTTCAACTTCAACTTGAATTTGCATATGAGCAATTGATAGTCTGTTCCACATTCAGCTTCTGGCCTTGTTC